CGACGCCTCGGCGTCGTTCCCGTCGTCCGAGGCTCACTCGGCTGTTTACAGGGATCGTAAAACCGGGCCCTGCCACTCGTAAACCATCCTCGCAAAAACCTAAAGGCGCCCTTCAGCTTTGATTAAAACGACGCCCGATTTTTCCCCAGTGACGGTTTCAGATCCTAAACAGGAAACCGCTTTCCAGGATGCGGTGCTCCACTTTGAATTCACTTTTCGAAGTCTTACATTTTTTTTTCCTCGATTTTTAAAACTCCAAGCGGTCGACCTGAAATGGAAAAGGGGGAAAATAATTTATCTACTCTAGTTGATCCAGGAATTGTGATCGATATTTCCTTTCTAAGGAGATTTGCGAGTGCTAAAGTTCCATGGCAGCGTTTGTTTCTTCCTTTTTCCGCAAATGCGTGGGGGAGCATGCGTGCGGCCAACACGTAAGACGAGTCTCAATTACTCACTTCGTATAACTCGGCGCACACCCTTTCGTCCGTCCGCCTCGTCGCGAATGTCGGAAAGGATGGATGGAATGGAGTAACGCCCCCCCCCTTTCCCTTTCATTTTATCCCCCCCAGGCCCAAATATATCGGCCGCGAGGAACGAGCGCGCTCTTCTCCATCTCCAGACTCCGTGCCCCGCCTCTCCCCTCTCCGCCGCCGTACTGTGCATTTCATCTCTCTCCCACTCGCGGCGACTCGATGCTCCGTCCTCCTCCCACCGGCTTCCCCCACCACGCGGTTGCTTCCCCCACCACCCGCCTCGTGACGCTACCTCGCTGTGCCGGTCAGCGCGGGCGCTCATTTATCCCCCGGCGCTGCAGCCGGTAAGGCAGGCGGAGGGTAAATAAGCGCTTTCTCGTTTTCTTTCCTTTCTTTTTTTTTTTTACGCCTTTTTACAGAATACCGAATTTATTGCTTTCAATGGCGTCACGCATTTCGCGAATCGCGAAGGACATTATGAGCAATTACAGTCCGGGGTGCCATGATATTGGGATAATTGATGTTGTACCCGGTTTAGGGGACGAAAATTCGAGTTACAAGGGGAGGGGGTTAAGGAAAACGTCCAAAGGAGTCGTCGTGACGTCGTTGTCCGCGGAGAGATTATTAAACCGAGCGACACGCCGACCGGGACGCTTTAACAACGGGAAACTGGCAAAGGGGCGGCGGGGGTGTAAGGGTGGGGTGAAGCACGCTCGCGTTTAATTGAAAATGCACCGGGGTAATAAAATTAGCCCGCGCATGCTCGGCCCTGGAATATTAAGCGGCGCGTCGCGACGCCCCTTTGAGGAACCTCTTGCAAACCGACCGTGACTGTTAACGACTATCGGTATTAATTATATTAATTAGGCGTCAGGGGGATTTTAAATAAACCCGCGGCACCTCTGACGATCGCCATTGCGGTAAAACCTGATTTTCCCCCGATTTTCGTTCCAGAGAAATCACGTGAAAAAAAAAAGAAAGAAGTCGAAAAATTCGTGAAAATTCCGAAATTTTAGAACGAGCGGAACTGAGCTATTTCGAGCATTCGCTGCCTCGGTTTATTTATTTTTAATCCCCACGCTTGCGATTTATTGACCGTGATACCAAGTTATGTGGAAATAAACCCCGGTTCTCACGTCGATCTCATTGCGCCGTTTTCACGGCGGATTAACGACATTTGCATTTCGCGTTGCGAGATTCACCCGCGACTTCCGCATTCGTGCACTTTTCACCTCGCGTGTAGTAATAACTCCCGTCATTAGAGCGAGCAACTTTCGCGAGGGAAATTCTATGTAACAAAAGGGTTACAATAACGCCGCTGCAGGATCTTCGAGATAATCCGGCTCTCTCTCTCTCTCTCTCTCTCTCTCTCTCTCTCTCTCTCTCTCTCTCTCTCTCTCTCGCTCTATCTCTATCTCGAGATTTTCCAAATCCCAGATTAATTTTCCTCCGTTTTGCAAGTTTACATTTTCCCTCCGCACATTTCCACGCGAAAGTTCTCCCGTCAGGATTTTTCAAAAGGGGTTGAACAATATTTTTCCGCACCCTTCGCGACCTGGTTTACGGTTCCCTTTGTTGAGGAGGAGCTGTTATTTAAATTTGTAATAAATAAAGAGAGGTGTTTTATCCTCGTCACGATTTTAATCCGTTAAAATGGAGGGAATGGTGAATACGAGGGACGTCTTCCTCGCATTTCCAGGACGCCTCGGGAATTAAGGCGCCATTGAAAGCGCGTATTCCTGGTAACGACGTCCGCGTCTTCCCGACGATTTCCAGGAGAGATTTTCTCTCCCGTTCCTCGTGGCAATCTAGATGGCCGTGTTCGGGCGAGCAGAACGCGAATACATGAATGCCATTAGCGAATTAAAATACAATTAAACATTCAAATTCCCCTATCGCTCCCGGGGACGCTTAATCCGGACCTCCAGGGGTTGATCCGGGTCAGGAAACCTGGAGCGCTCTTCCAGGCGACGAGACCGAAAGTCGGGACTGAAAAATATCTCATATCATCTGGAATCATCTTGTACCGCAAAACACTCCATTAATAAATTTAATAAAGAAGGAAGAAAAAAATATATAGAACACGAGGAGAAACGTTTACACGGAGTTCCAAGGGCGCAGTCTCCAATTCGAGATTATACCTCACCTGGTCGCGGGGCCTGTTTACCTGTGCACCTGTACATAGAACCGCAGATAATACCCGGGGAGCTTGTAGCGGCTTATCACGGGCCGATTTAGACCAGCTCGGAACAGTTTCGCCGTAGATTAGGCCACCAAGTATTTATTATGTCGCTCTAAAAGCACTCCGACCGGCGCGCCGTCCGAAAGCTTTATAAAGCACCCCGGTTAACGTTCGCGCTTTTACGATGCCCTGAGAGGGAGAGAGGGGTAGGTCAACTTTTACTACCAATCCCCTCTCTTTTTATTCTCTGCCCCCCTTTTTTTTTTGAACGTACATTGTCTCCGAATGCGTGCCATTCCGCCTGTAACGGGCTCTCGCATCACCTGGCTTTTTTTTCGCTTTCCTCCGCCTAGAATTCGAGGGAAAAAAAAGAAGAAATAACTAGGAAAAAAAGGGTTAAAAAATAGAGAAACACCAATCAAGCGGCGGGATCTGATTTTATTGAATGCACCGAATCCCCGTTGGCTCGGTTAAACGTATCCACCCCCCCGTGGAATTCGGTTTGATCGAGTCCTCCCCTCACCTGGATTAACCTCGTCTATTCGGTTGAAATGATGGGGGAGAAAGAGTAAATAAATAAATGCTACCTGCATCGGCGGTTTCTCCGGTTGCGAAAAGCGATCCTCGGTCGGGGTGGGATTTCGTAAAAATTAACACCACCCGGGTCGAATTTTAGATTTTTTTTTCCTTTTTTTTTCCTTTTTTTTTATAAAAAATGTCGAACGATCTTTGGAACGCTCGCGAAATATTTTACGGAGAAGTTTCGAACGATCTTTGGAACGGCGACAGGGATCGATCAGTCCGTACTCGCGGCTCATGTATCATTCAGAAGCGAATAAGCTCGAAGAAAATCGGGGCCGGAGCTCTTGGCCGAGAAAGACTTGTCCTTGATCCGTCAATCCTTGAAGGAAAAGAGAAAAATAACGATAAGAGGCGCTCATCTGGAATTTTCGAACTACCCGCCACTCGGGGAACGGCGTGCACTGCGTGGTCTGATTTGTAGAAAATAATTTGAGGGTTTTAGCATTTCCTCCATAATTCTTTTCCGCGATAAGTCCATGGCGGGGGTTGGAAAAGTGTTTGGAAAGGCCATTGGGGGATGACCAGCCGGCCTCGAAGGGGTTTACTGCCCGTTGATTCAGAAACATCGGGCCGATCGAAAGCAATAACTGTTGGAAACTGGGTCGAGGGGGCGGGGACAAAAAGGTGCTGTAAACCTTTATTTATTCCCCCTCGTAAATGTTTTTTCGACTTTACCCCCCACTCGCGACGATCATCCAGCGATTTCACGGGCTGGAGCTACAGTCGATCCCCTTTTTACGGCTTGATAAGAATTCGGTGTCCCCCGACTTTATCAGGGGGCCCGAGACGCGCATCGGACGCCGGAGGAAAGCGTTATGGGGTATTAGGGTGATCATAAAACTCCAGGGTCGTCAGAATGTACGTGGCACCGTGCCTTAGGAATCCCTAGGGATCACGGGACGTCGGGGATTGTTTCCGGGATCTCCGGCAAGGTGGGATCATCCCTGAACCGGACAGCCTCTCGATAAGCCGGAGTTTCCTCGATTTTCCGAATTTCCCCCATACCCACCCCCTTGATAGGGGGAAAGATTGAACAACCCCCGAAAATGTGTTGTCTCTGCGTCTAAAATGTTTAAATCGCTCCCATCAACTTCATTACTTTTATTTACAATTATTTTCTCTATTTTCTCTTTTTGATAAGAAGGGTCCCGATACGTCATATTTATTTTAAGGGGTGGATTTTATTCCTCCGATTTTACTCGTCACGTGTACAGGGTTTCGGGGGGTGCAGGGTGCTTTTACAAGGGTTGTTTTATCGGCGCTCCTCGCAACGCCGTTTCGCCGGCGAAATTGTTTTCGCTTCTGGTTCGAGAGTCGTCCTCGCGAGTTACAAATGGTCCTTCCCGGGGGAAGGAATATAAATGACACCTGCACCCTCGTCCTCCCCCCGTTATTTGCGATAGATCGATCCCGCCCTCCGGACTCTTTCGGTCCGGCGACTGCATCTCGCTTTATCCCGGAAAATCCTGATAAGCGGAGCTGGAGGGTCGCTCCGGAGGGTGGAAAGATCACTCGCCCCTTCATTCCCTCTGGCCTACCCTAAAAATCCTTGGCAGCAAATGAAAAAAAGAAAAATACATACCATGCATAAACTTTCCCAAAAATCCTAAAAAATCAGGATTCACTCACTTTTGCCATATTTCCTGGTGTACTTTTTCCCTTCTTTTTTTTCTCCATTTCAACCCCAGAATTTCCGGGAGGGGGTCTTCCGGCGACTCGCGACGAGAATCCTCTGACCTCCGGAAATCCTCTTTTGGTTTCAGCACATGGTGCAGACGGGGATGGCTGCGCCTTACGGTGGGGGTGTCTTTCCCCCTCCGGTGAACGGGGTAGCCGGGGTGGTGGGGGCGGCAGGAGCCGGCGGAGACGTCAAGCCGCCCCCGCCGGTCTCCGTGAAGGAGGAGGCGCCCCAGCAGCCGCCCCCTGGCGGCCCACAGGTGCCCCCGCCCGCGGGGGCACCCCACCAGGCCGCCCCTGGCGCCCCCGCCGCCGCCAACTTCAGCCCGCCACCGCCTCCCAATGGCGTCGATCAGCAGGCCATCGTGAGTATACTCTTGACTTTTTTTTTCCCTCAATTCTCCGCACCTCTTTAAATCGTAAGTCGAGTACACTCTTGACTTTTATTTTTTCATTATTCTCCGCAACTTCTTATACCATAAAGTATACATCGGTATACCATTTCATGTAATTTAACGTCAATCGGCAGGCCATCGTGAGTATACTCTTCACTTTGATTTATTTTCCTCAATTCTCCGCATCTCTTTAAATCGTAAGTCGAGTACACTGTTAACTTTTATTTTTTCATTATTCTCGGCAACTTCTTATACCATACAGTGTACATCGATATACCATTTCATATAGTTTAACGTCAATCGGCAGGCCATCGTGAGTATACTCTTCACTTTTATTTATTTTCCTCAATTCTCCGCATCTCTTTAAATCGTAAGTCGAGTAGACTCTTAACTTTTATTTTTTCATTACTCTCGGCAACTTCTTATGCCATAAAGTATACATCGATATACCATTTCATGTAGTTTAACGTCAATCGTCATGCCACCATGAGTATACTCTTGACTTTTATTTTTTTTTCCCTCAATTCTCCGCACCACTTTAAATCGTAAAATGTACCGATCGTCGAGGAGACCCTTGACTTTCATTTTTGCATTATTCTCCGTAACTTCTATACCATAAAGTATGTATCAAAATACCATTTCATGTAGTTTGGCGCCGATCAGCGGGCCATCGTGAGTACACTGGAATTTCATTTTCTTCTCCATTCTTCGCACCTCCTCAAATCATAAAATGTACGGATCGTCGAATAGACCCTTGACTTTCATTTTTTCATTATTCTCGGCATTTTCTTATACCATAAAGTACATATCGATATACCATTTCACGTAGTTTAACGTCGATCGGCAGGCCATAGTGAGTATACTCATGAATTTTATGTTTCCTCCTCACTCTCCTCACCTCTTTAAACCGTGAAGTATACAGTTCGTCGAGGTAGCCTATTGACTTACATTATTCCATAATTTAATTCTAATTTTTTTTAATCGCATAAGTACACGTATCGTTAGTTAATACTGTGTAATTTAATGTTATCGAACAGGCCATCGCTATTAGACATAACCCGTGGACATTAATTTCCTCATCATTTAATTCTCATTTTTTGCCCCGCATAAAAAGTTACATATCGTTAGTTAATGCCATGTAATTTAATGTCACCAGGCAGGTCATCATTAGTAATTTAATTTTCTTTTAATTTATCCCTCTTATTTCATACTGCGTAGAGAAGTACATAACCTCGCAATGTACACACGAAGCGCGGGAGGGCATCTCGTCCAATCCAGTGCACGACTCATCCCGAGGCTGGACCGGAACTCGGGAATGGGCGGAAGTTCACGACGCCTCCCTGGAAGTTCTCGGGAACTAACTAACGAACCAACCAACGGCCGTCTCGTAATTCCCCGAACTCGCGTTATCCCTGTATTGGCAATGAATTAGGGCCATCAGGAGTGAGACGGGGCCTCGGCCCTATCCCGCGGGAATGGCCCGAGATGAGCCTCGGAGGGCACTAACTAATCGAGCGGGAGTACCTAGATGCCGTATCCAGGGACCCTAGGTACCCCATCTAGATACTCCCTAGATGGCCCCGAGTCCTCCGGTGCGTGGCGAGTGGCGGAAACGCAGCGGCCTCGCGGACGTCGGATACCGGGACCCTGGTTCCCGGTTAACCCGGGGGTTCCCGGGGGACCAGGCCTCGGCAAATCAGCGTCCACGACCGGCTCGTAAATACCCTCGTAAAGCATCGAGCTCGCCGGTTTAACGGCTGATCTCTCGAGATGAACGTAAAACCGGCCGATGTGAGCCGCGATACCGAGCCGAGTCTCGGTACTTCCCGAAGACGCGCTCGAGGATGGCCTTAACTTATTCATTCCCCCCTTAAAGTCCCTCCCCGAAGACGGGAGTCGTCCTTTGACTTAGGGGAATTTTTAGACCCCTCGGCAAGGGGTGAACGCGACCCCTTTTAGTAGAAAAAAAGATAATTGATCGAGTTAGATTCCCCCAGAAATTCAAATTTCCTGCTTTTAGGTTAGGTTTGAGATTATTTCTCCTTCTCTCCCCTATAAAAGAGGGAGGGCCTCAAAAATATGTCTTCCGAAAATTCTCCCGTTTTTCTGTGCGGTCCGAAAAGACCATCTTGAGTTCGACCTCCACCCTCGAAAGCACCCCTGATAACCTTTGCCCTGTAGGAGGTTTAGCTTCCCAAGGACCCTTATCACAAAGGACATAGGTAACATGGGATCGCATGTCCCTTTGGACCCTTAACGAGCATTTGTGCATTTCATGCCCTCCTTCTGCACCCCGTCGCCTCTACTTTCCCTCAAATGGATAATAGCTCTTCTGAGTAGTTACGTACTTCTAGGTTATTACGTCTTGTACTACTTGAAGACTCCCCGGTACATCCCGAATAATCGGGGGAGTTCACCCTTAATTGCAGCGTATTCGGGGGTGTTCCAGTCCCCGTTGGATTGCGCGATGCCGAATAATTAGTCGAACGGTAGAGGAAGAAATTATTATTTCTTATCGCCCTAGCGTGAATTCCTCCCTTAAGTATGAGATGCGTATATTCATACGGCGATAAGCTAGCGCCCTGCAGGAGTCGGCAATTTAGTCCGCGCCCCACCACGTGACTCCTCCCTCACCCGCGTTGCACTCGACTTGCATTCCCGAGCTTGCAGCTTCCCCTTGCACCTGCACCCTCACACTTTATGCTGGCGCTTATGCAAATCGAACCCCCCTTGTCGGGATTCCGCGATAGTCTCGGCCCCCGGGGTGGAAGCAGCTTTTATGCAGCCAACCACAGCTTTTTACACCCCCCGCAGAGATGCATCTTGAGATGCATCTCGAAACGCAGCCCACGATTCGACTCCACCCTGAACGGGACGCACGTCACGCACCCTCTGGGATTCCTGAGGGAAATTTCCAAATTAACAGGCGGAACGTGACCGGGATACGGTGCGGCAGTTCCAACCCGATTCGGCCGCGGGGCGGGGAGAAAACCGCGTGCCGCGGAATCGGGCCGGTCTTTTCAGCGATCAGGGGTTAATACAGGGTAAATATTGGCGAAATGCAGGGTACACACAAAGGAGTAATTCCGCGTGCGGAGGGGTTGCGGAATCGGCTAGGGTTTAGGTTGCACCCTCCGGGGAGAGGTCGAACGTTGCGTTGGAAATTCCCTCCCCAATAATTGGGTATGAATAAATCATGTAGGATCTTTATTTCGTGGCTTTTTAATTATTCTAGAATTAGGTGGTGAGTTTACACGTGCGATTTATGTAGAATTTACGCGTAATTTAAAAGTAATCCATTACTCGGGGGCGAGCGACCGTGGGACCCCCTTTGTCGGCCTTGTCGGCCGAAAGACGCGGCGCGGATTAGCGCCGGCGACAATGTAGACGCTTAATTAATTCGGGGGGTGCATTTTGTCGGGGCGAGTCGGTTGACCCGTTCGGAACGGTCCCGGACAATGGGCCCTTTGTTCACGCTCGTCTGTTGCATTAATGCCAGGGTCCGAAGAGAGGGTTGAAAGGCCCAGCTCGTTGCACCCCACACGTGCACGCATACCGTATTACCCCCGAGAGTGCGCCCACGTGCGCCCATGTGCGCCCATGTGCACCCGTATGCACCCACGTGAATCCCTATGTGCCCATATGCACCCATGTGCACCCACATGCACCCACATGCACTCATATACCGAATGTATAAGCGATGGGGTGGTACATGTCCACCCTGCTCGCCCCTTAACGCGTACCACCGCGCTGATGCACGTTTGAAACCTGATCTCGTGTATGAATGCACCCCGGTGCATGTGCATCGCCCACAGGTACGCGCAGTATGTACTCCTCCCTCGAAGTAGTTACTCACACGGGGGAAATGGTCCGCGACACGCGAACTGGGTTATGCTCGTTCACTTCCTCGGAAACCCGGATTGGGACGCGGAAATAATGCGCCGCTGGCTCCCAGGGGATGCACCCCTTCGCGGTGCATCCCCTGCGGTGCATCCTTCACGGTGCATCCCCCACGAGCTGGAACGCGTTGGCGCGCCACAGGGGGTGCCTCCAAATTTTTCGTTCCATTATTAATCCTGAGGAGTTGTCGACATTTTTATTAATTATCTCAGACAAATCTTAAGTAATTAAAGAGATTCCTCGTTTCCCTAATGGAAGCGTCTCTCCTCCTTTGCGTGAATTTTTATTTTTTTTTCTTGTTGCGTTTAATATTTTGTTTCTCTGAATTCCCAGAGTGCATTCTCCGGATTCTTCTTTCTGGGGGAGGGCTTGTGGGGGGAGATTCTTCCATCCCGAAAGGACCACCCCGGATGTATCGAGCTTAAGGGCGAGCACGGTCTGACGAGCACTCCACTCTTTCCGCCCCTAACTTCGCAGGGTCTCGAGCGTTTCCGCCCTTGCGGCGAAGTTTGCGATATGCAATATGCAACGGGGTACCTCGCGGGGGGTCTCGCGAATTTTCAAGGGGGTCGCCCGGTGGGGAGATGTAACGAGCCGGTGCTGAAGTCCCATCCCCCCAGTGCACCCCCCGCGGTCTTTTGGCCTCCTGAGGAATAATTTCCCGCTTCGAGGATTTATTCCTGTAACCCCCCGCGGAAAGGATCCTCTGATTTTTTTGAAAAACGCTCAGAAATAATTATTTTCCCGATTTTTCGATTTATTGAGATATTTAAAAAATATGAAATCATCGTTTCATTCTGTTATAATGGTTAATTAAGGGGGTTGTTTCGCACCCTCGTGATTATTACGTGGTTTTATTTTTTACTTATCTTTTAAATTATCGCGCACTTATCGAGGAATTGCGCTTTCTCGTCGATACCGAGACTTCCCCTCTGGACAATCAAGGGATGGCAAAAAACGACCCCTGTTCGGGACTCTTTTGCCATTGTCGCCCAGATGAAGGTCCTCCTTTTTCCGGGCTCGGGCGCTAACGAACTTGAAATAAGTTCGAAGGAAATTTCCCAGGAGCC